CTCTCCTCGTTTCGCGAATATCAGCGGTTGCTCATCGATGAATTTCTTCAGGTCCTCGCTACGGACTTCGCCAGGTTTGCTAACGATGCGGTTGTAGTTGAGTTTGATCATTGCAGGCTGAGCGCGGGAGTTCATGGCGTACAGAGCAGCAAACCAGATGGGGCTAAGCCAGTGGGGGCGGTCCAGGAGCTCGGGAAACCTTTCGTGTCCCGCTGGAACAACTTCGATGCGATCGGCAACATTTTTATCCACACCAACATCTTTGATGAGAGCACCTGTTAGTACTTCCTTCCACAGCTTCACTTTGTCTTGGAACAGCTCTACTTTCTCCTCCTCGGTGTCTGCATCAAGAATTTTTGCGTCCAAATCTTCGGCAAGGTTTGCGAATGTGAGGACAAACATTGCATTTTCCCACATTTTTTGCCCAAACAAGTTGGTGAGTTTCCTCATCGCGAGAATATCTGGACAATTCTCGAAAAATCGTGTTTCTTTCAAGCTCACGCAGTAGATGCTTAGATCCACATCGGAACATTTCTTCTTCATGTCTTCCAAATAGTCGCCCTCTTGGTTGGTGCCGTCTTGCAAACCGGGCGAATCCCACACCGTCACATCGACAGAATGGTGATTACATCTGTGAGCAGTTACTACGGATGTTTCTCGGTCTAAAGTTTCGCCTTCTTTAGCCACTTTTTTCCCAACAAGGCCGTTGATCAGGGTGGACTTGCCGACCCCAGTCTTCCCGGTGATAAAGATTTGTACTTTATTGCTGTTATCGAACCATTTCACCAATTTTTGGCGGATGCGTTTGTCAACTCGCTGCAACCTAGCGGAGAGTTGCGAGTGATACGCGCCTTCGGCCATCGGTGTTCCGCCAAAACCGCTGTGAAGAAAATCGTCACACTGCGCGTAGCTTTACCATATTTTATAGAGAGGTCTCCAGCGCGCGCGGAAATAGCTACCGGATGTTCCTAAAGAACGAGGGACTATAAAGTGATCCACGCGCGTATGTATTAATTAGTCCTGAGTACGCTCTGAGTCTGCTACTTGAAACGCCGCCGATGAGCTGCTTCAAAACCAGGACGTCCGAATTGGGGTCAGAAGCGCCGACCGACCAGACGTCATGCGATTCAGAAGCACAGATCAACACCCAAGGCTGCGAAGAGGGTACGAAAGCGCCCAATTCGCAAAGCAGTGAAAAGGAGCGTTCCTATTTAGTAGAGCCAATCAAACTCAGAGATCGCGAATCAGTACACGGAGATGGTCAGGGAACGTACACAGAGGATCGGGGGTCCATGGAGACGCTCGAGCATCCGCAAGACGACCGTGCGACGCCGGCCTTTGATTTAGAGGCGTCGACCGTAGCGCAGACCAACAAAACGACGTTAGCGCCGACCAACCCGACGGTAGCGCCAACCAGCCCCACGTCCAATTTAGAAGCGCGGACCAACAAGACGTCTGATTCAGTAGCGCCGACGGTAGCGTCGACCAACCAAACGGTAGCGCCGACAGTAGCGTCGACCAACCAGACGGTAGCTCAGACCAACCTGACGTCGGATTCAGTAGCGCCGACCAACCCGACGGTAGCGCCAACCAGCCCCACGTCCAATTTAGAAGCGCCGACCAACAAGACGTCTGGTTCAGTAGCGCCGACGGTAGCGTCGACCAACCAGACGGTAGCGCCGACGGTAGCGTCGACCAACCGGAAGGTAGCTCCGACCAACCTGACGTCGGATTCAGTAGCGCCGACCAACCCGACGGTAGCGTCAACCAGCCCCACGTCCAATTTAGAAGCGCCGACCAACAAGACGTCTGATTCAGTAGCGCCGACGGTAGCGTCGACCAACCAGACGGTAGCGCCGACCAACCTGACGTCCGATTCAGTAGCGCCGACCAACCCGACGGTAGCGCCGACGTCTGATTCAGTAGCGTCGACCAACCAGACGGTAGCTCCGACCAACCTGACATCGGATTCAATAGCGCCGACGTCTAACTCAGTAGCGCCGACAGTAGCGCCGACGGTAGCACCGGCGTCGGATTCAGTAGCGCCGGCGTCTGATTCAGTAGCGCCGACCAACCCGACGGTAGCTCCGACGTCTGACTCAGTAGCGCCGACGTCTGATTCAGTAGCGTCGACCAACCAAAAAGTAGCGCCGACGGTAGCGCCGACCAACCTGACGTCGGATTCAGTAGCGCCGACCAACCCGACGGTAGCGCCGACGTCTGACTCAGTAGCGCCGACAGTAGCGCCGGTGTCTGATTCAGTAGCGCCGACGGCGTCGGATTCAGTAGCGCCGGCGTCTGATTCAGTAGCGCCGACGTCTGATTCAGTATCGTCGACGTCGGATTCAGTAGCGTCGACCAACCAAACAGTAGCGCCGACGGTAGCGCCGACCAACATGACGGGAGCTCCGACCAATCTGACGGGAGCTCCGACCAACCTGACATCGGATTCAGTATCGCCGACCATAGCGCCGGCGGTAGCGCCGACTGTAGCGCTGACGTCAGATTCAGTAGCGCCGACCAACCTGACGTCAGATTCAGTAGCGACGACCAACCTGACGGTAGCGACGACCATTCTGACGTCAAATTCAGTAACGAAGACCAACCTGACGTCAGATTCAGTAGCGACGACCATCCTGACGTCAGATTCAGTAGCGACCACCAACCTGACGTCAGTTTCAGTAGCGCCGACCAACCTGACGTCCGAGCCCGAGACTGAACCGCCGGTATCGCCTATGTCCGATTCGACGTCCGACTCAGAGGCGCGGACCAATCCAGAAGGATACGAAGAGGGTTTCTGTCCGATAAACCTTCACGGCCTTGAAAAAGATTTAGGGGGCCCGATATTGAACCTGCAAGACCCACACGGAGAGATGCCTGATTTAGGATTAGCGCCGGTAACGCCCGTTTGGGTAAAAAACCTGCAAGCAACGCACAAGGAGGATCAGAGACCATTAGCGCCGATCAACCAGCAAGCTCAGTACGAAGCTGGTCAAGCCAGCTCTGTACCATCAAACAATCCGACGTCTTCCGATTTCGAAGCGCCAGTGAGCGGTAAGGAGCGGATCGAGATCCTCGTAACGGGGACGTCAGGAGTGGGAAAGTCTACGCTCGTCAGCGCCCTCATAGGGAAACGTGTAGTGAAGACTGAGAACCAATCACTACCTGTCAAGTCGAACCAAACTGGCTACACCGTGAACATAAAGGAGGTGACGGGGGAAGAGGGCGATGGAAAGGTTGAGGCTGTGGTGTGGGATTCACCTGGCCTCCAGGGCAGCTCAGGGAAGGAATACCAGTATCTCACTCAAAAGTACGGCGATATCGATATTATCCTCTACTGCATGGACATCACAGTTACCCGCTCCAGTGGATTGACTGCTGCGGACATAGAACAAAACGATCTCTCCGCAATGAAGAAACTAACTACTACTTTCGGCTCTGACTGGTGGAGGCGTTCCATTTTCGTTATGACGCGTGCAAACGCGTTGGAAACAGCGCTCAAAGTGAAACCGGATCCCGAGAAGAGGTTCAATGAGAAGGTAAAGGAATGGAGAGAGAAAATTGTTGACACATTGGTTGCAACTGGCGTGCCAAAGGAAATAGCTTGTGAAATACCAGTGGAGCCAGCCGGACATCGAAAGAAGCCACACCTACCAGGCCGAGAGAACTGGCTCCTAGCACTCTGGGGTACCATTGTACAAACTGCACGTAATCTACCGCACGAAGACCAAGATTTCGTTCCGCAAGACTCACCCAAACAGGGTGAGGAGACGTGTGACCCAGTAGCACCTACCACCCTGCAAGACTGCGAATCAACATTCGAAGAGGGTCAGGGAATGACGCCCGGCTCTAAACAGCGACAGCCGATTCCACATCCAATTCAGCATCTCCGCAAGTGTCTAGAGTTGAGTCTAGTGCGACGACTGAGGCAGCTGGGGGTGGGACCACCGTTGAATCAGGTCCTGCAGGTCAAGAGGGTGGAGCTGATTCCTGGAGGGCAGTGTATTTCCCTGATTTCGTTGTTCATCTGAGGGTTCTGAAGATCCAGAAAGACACAGGAGTGCCAATCTCCCCCGGATCTGATTCAGTGCCTCCAATCAGCCCTCGAGGTCGTGAGTTGACATGCGAAGAAGGACACACTTTGCCTAAGGATGCGGCTATTGCGAAAACGACAGGAGCTGCAGGGAGTGAGACATTGGCAGATACCCCTGCGGGTGCTACAGTGGCTGGGTTTTCATGGAGGGCAGTCACATACGATGATAATGTCGTTTGTCTGAAGGTCAAACCAAACAAGCTCCCTAGAGAGACACAACTGTAGCTAATCGTTATCCCAAAACTATTCACTGTTTGCTCGGTTGCTACTTCACTACTATTTTGCCAAGTGTTCTGCATTTTTTCCTTAGTTTTCTGAGAGCAAAACAAACTGCAGCGAAGTCAGGTACCAAATGCGCCCGTATACGCATGCGCAGTTGTTGTGTAAGCAGCATGCAGGAGGCCCGCCCGCGCGCCCCTCTTCTAGCGCCGCGCCCATTGAACGAAAAATGGCTGCGCTCGACGCGACGAGTATCCTTCGTGCTCTAGAACGTGAGACTTACTGAGATCAAAATAGGCTCAGGAGCTTACGGCAGCGTAGAGGAGGTGGCGAACATCATTCTCCTTTCACCAAACCCTTACGTTTAGTGTCCCAAAAAATACTTCACTAATAATATGCAGCAAAAAGGAGAAAAACGAAGTGTAGGGGCACAACGGAGAAAAGTGGACAGGCCTATGGTACTGCACCAGATTCTAATAGTTAGCAGTAAAGATTTTTGCGATGTTTTAAATTCTTTAATTATTTTTACAAGACAAAAACATACAAGTCAGTTTAGTGTTTGTGTGTGAGTTTGTTGTGCATGTGTGGTGGAGTGGGTGGAGTCTCATTAACGATGTGGGCGGAGTCTCAGAAGGAGAATCCTCCGGAAGGCACACTCTGCACGGCAGGTGCAAACTGGAATCCACCAGTGGAGTTGACTGTCGGTGCTATTGACTGGTCCTCTTCTTCCTCCTGATGGAGGGGGGGTGAGAGCAGAGGGGGGACAGGACGGAAAGGAGAAGAGCATGAGAAAATAAATAAAGTGCGAGAGAAGAGTTTAAGTGATGGAGATGACGAGAAGAAAGGGAAGAATTAAGGAAGACGATACTGTGGTTTCAACAAATGAAGTATTGGGATTAAGCAGAATAAAAAACAGTAAAAAGAAAGAGTTTTTGATTCTAAAAGGAGCCCACCTCAGAGAAGAAATTTGTCGATGATGGTGAGAGAGAGTTTGTAGACGTCTTGGTTGCTGTGCTGCTGCAGAGCCTCAATCTTGTCCAGACCCTCGCACTCCTCTATCATCAGACACACCTGATCCACCAGCCTTCTCTTGGAGGCCGCCTGCAGCAACACAAAACGAATGCTTAGCAGCTGACAATAAGCACCCAAAAACGAAGTTCACCATAAAATGCAAAGGCTACAGTAATAGAGACATGTACAAAATACGATGTGATGCCATGTATATAACTCACATTGAGGATATTGAGAAGACCGTCCAACAGGACCTGCACTATCTTGGCATCCTTCACCACCAGAAGATCACACAGTGGCTTCAGAGCATTGGCCTCCAGGATGTAGATGATCTGCAGGGAGGGAGAACAGTTGGTATGGAATCAGGGTGAGATGAACAAACAAGTTCAGGTATGTATGGGAGAGAGAAAGACAACTTCACAAAAGGCGGAGGAAAGAGAAGGTAGAGAATCCCGCCACCTGATCAACATTTCCACCAGCAGTCAGGTTAGTGATGGCCCAGACTGCCTCTTTCTGTGCCTTGTACTCTCCCTGCACATACACACACCAGGACCACTCAGTATTAGTTATGCGCCTGCACCTAATGTTCTATTGTCTCAAAAATGTTTAGTAACTCTATCCTATTTTGATTACTTTACAGAATCCAGTTTTAAAAGCTCATTATGCATTCGCAATATGTACATATTCAGGTAACTCTAAAAGAAAACTGTTGCTCTTGATACGTGGCGAGAGCTTGTCCCAAACATCTCTAGCAGTGGGGCTCACTTACTCGTGCCATGATCTGGAGTAGATGAGGGATGAGTTGCATGTCAATGACAGACTGTATCTGTGATGGTTGGCCTGCAGTAATGTTGGAGATGGTCCACGCTGCCTCCTGAGAGAGAGAGAGAGAGAGGAGGTGAGAGAGGAGAGGTGAGAAGAGGGAGCGAGTAAGGACAAGATATGGGCACAAAAACAGAAGAAAATGGAAATTATAAAACTACATACGTAGTACACCATTAGGAAATAAACTTTTCACTACTTGAGAAAGAGTAAGTAATAAGACAGGATATGGGGGAGATTAAGAGAGGGAACAGACTAAGGATGTGAGACCTTCTGAATGTTTGATCTTGGATGTGTGAGGAGGTTGTTGAAGTGGGAGAGAGCCGCACAGTCCAGAACCAGCTGGGTCTGGTGGTCACTCCCTGTCACTATGTTACCCACTGCTCTCAGCGCTGGCGTCTGCGTGGAGAGAGAGAGGACAACGATGATAGGAGGGGAAATTGGCTGAACCCAACTTCAAAAAAGCACCAACTATATACTGCAGCAATCATAATTTTGCAGGGGAGGTGAGAAATAAACTTAGACGACATGAAAGGTATCATATATAATACACCCAGGACAAATCTTGTCTCAAATATTAGGGGCTGAGCGCTCTATATATGATACTACACCTTACACAAGGCATAAATTATGTCATTGCATGCATCTATGACATAGACATCTATACATGCAGAAACACAGAGCCTCGAAAGAAAGTTCACAAGACCTGACCACCACTACCCAGAGATTCCTGCTCACCACACAGCTGATCTCAGAGGAGCCCAGTAGCTGGACCAGTCGAGTGACGATATCAGAGTCGATGACGGCCTGTATTCTGTCCGTGCTGGCGTCAGTCAGGTAGGAGAGGGCCCAGCAGGTGTCAGACACCACCTCGCGGTCCTCATGCTTGATCAGGTGGGCCAGAGCTGGGAGGATCTGTCGACAGAACAGAGTTTCAGGAAAACATTAGAAACATTATAAAGTGACATAATTATACGTAATTATGCAGAGGAACACTTGAGAGAGAAAGCAAGCACAAATATCACTTTTTCCACGTAAAATTCTGAGCTATATATATACAGTTCTGAGAAGCCATCTTTCATGCTATTTTGAAAGTTTTCTCCCTAAAGAGCAAAGCGAAAGGGAAAAGAGAGGTTAGGAAGGTAATGTACCTGTTGGACAGCCTCAAAGGCTGGAGGAGGGCTCTTGTTGCGACAGAGGTTGGAGAGAGTCCACGTCACGTTCCTCAGATGAGCAATCTGCCAGGGGAGGGGAAAACCATTATACACCACGTACAAAATGTCTCCTCCAGTTTGCTAACCCCAGTGGCCTGAGTATTACAGTGCTAACCCCAGTGGCCTGAGTTAGTGCTAACCCCAGTGGTTCTTGAGATGAGATCAATGAGTGGCTGAATGATGCCACATCTGACGGTAAAGTCCCTGCAATCAGAGCCATTGCCTGCAATGTTTCCCAGAGCCCACACAGCCTGGTCCACCACATTCAGATGTTCAGAGGACAACAGCCGCACGAAATGTGGCACCGCTCCTGGTGGAATGGAATGGAGACGTGAGATGGAATGGAATGGAGACAACATAATACCACTTGAGACTGCATCATTAGCAACAGCACACAGGGTATTGGAATGGGCCGGCAATGCATGCATCACACAGCAGACAGCAGGAGAGGTGGGGTTTCGAACATGACAATAGATAGGTATCGACATTCAAAATAACGACACACTATATATGGGAATTGAAACAGTATCCAGGCAGTAAGAGATAAACTTCCATTTGTGCCACAGAGGAAAACAGCAAACAGCTATATATATATAGCTATAGAGAGGCCTTCAAGTTCTATCATTCGAGTGTATACGAAGCCTGCCTGTCTTTCTCCCTCCCTCTTATGTACATGTGTACATATACACATAGACTGCTTGATACTCACCAGACTGAACGACAAACATGGTCTGTTCAGAGGTTCCCGAGGCTATGTTAGTCAGAGCCCAGGCCGATTCAAACTGCAGTTTGTGACTGATTGAAGGAGTGAGGGAGGGAGGGAGGGAGAGAGGGAGGGAGGGAGAGAGGGAGGGAGGGAATGTGGGGTTGGGAATATTGCAATGGTTTCAATTTCATTATCAACTCACTTGTCGGCTCTTGCAAGAAATTCAACCAGTTTCGAAACAACCCCACTCCTAGAGAATGGAGAGAGGGAAGGATATCAGTTGTCTATCACAGCTACAGATGAGTTGGTGTGGTGTGGGAAAAAATCTCACCCAATTACAGCGTCAATCGGAGGGTTTTTCTCTTTGGAGAGAAGTTTACGACACGACTGGACACCTGATAACTGAGCCTCAGGATTGAGACTGTTGATGTTCTGGTGGAGAGAGGAGGGATATGAGGAAGAAGAGGAAAAGAGTAAAGCTGCAGTTACAATCTCATTCTAAGTTCTCTAAGGCAAGCTTGTCCACCAAAATAGTTCAACGGCCTTTAACATAGTGTTAAGAACAACTCATATATATATCACAGCGAGACTGTGTAGCACTGAGAGAAACAGAGAGAAAGAAAGACTTTAAGAAGTGCCGTGATGATGTGAAAATGTTATCACAGACCCTAGCATCAGCTGCACAAATGAAAACATAAACAGACCTACATGGATGGGGCCAAAGACAACACTGACTACCACTGGTGGACCAGAGGGACCAAAAGACTACCAAACAGAGACCAAAGAGACCACAGAGTGGTAGAGGGGGAGGGGGTGGCTCACGGAGACAATGGCGGGGAGAGAGAGGTCGAGAGGAACAGTCTTGTTGCTCTCCTGCAGAGGAGTCTCGTCTGGTTCAACTTGCAGGTTCCTTCTCTTCAACGACTGCTCGTCTTTCTTTGCCTGAGAGAACGAAGAGAGGGTAGAGAGGGAGTTAGGGAATGAGGGGCAGAGTAGCCACAGAAAGTGACAAATATTAGATTCCACTTGTTGAAGCACACCCCATGCTGCAAGCTATAAAACAGGTGTGTAGGGAGGATAGTGGTATATAGTACAGGGCGGCACAAATATGAAGTTAGGAGCTGCCAAGATTCCTCCCCTTGAAGAGGCCCTTTTCCTAAACTCGGCAGTTAATGCAAGTTTCTTTCTTTCTCCCCTGCAAATAATTATTAGTTTTCTCAGAATAATATATTTGGTGGACTTGTTGCATTGGCAGTAATTATTGTAAGTGAGAAAGAGGCAGGGAGGGGAGAAGATGGAACCACACCAGAGGCTACTAATCACAAACTAGCAGAACTAGACATTTACTTCTCCGGACAAACAGATAACATACAACTCCCTACAATCCTCATCATACTGGATACACCATTTTTATGTGGCAACAACCAGGCTTCCCAAATACCCTACGAAACACTGCAGGCGTCGCGACATTGAGCGACAACAAGTTCTTGTAATTCTTCGTGTCAAATTACATGTAAAGTGGTTAGTGATGACCAAAACGTCTGGACACAAACAACCCAGTGTGACCTAATGAACTGGCACTAGCACTAACTGTGCCAAATTATCTATCTCCTCTTTCCCTCCACAGCCCACTGTTGCTATATACCAGGGAAATGGTCCAGTTACATTCTGGGTAGCCTGCCACCACAGAAAACGGTCTGGAATGCATAGGACTTTACCAGGTTTTCGTACTGTATTATCTAGTGTTACGTGTATATAGAGGGAGAAAACCACAGGTATTACTTGACAGGCGGAAACGCGATGACCTCCGACAACTAAAAACATGCCGTCCATAATTGCGCGGTAAAGACTCGCTAAAGACTTGCAAAACGACGACCCCTCGTACGCAACAAGCAGTAAACAGGCTCTCGCGGCCTTCCCTCCGCCTCCGCACACAGCAGACGAACGTGAGAGATGCGCGGCGCGCAAATGTGTTTTTCGTGCAAGTCACTCACTCTTCTCAGCTCCACTGTAACGTCGTTTCTTCGTCTCCGCATCTCCTGGAAAAGAAAGAGGGAGGGGGAAGGAAAGATGAAAACTGCACGCAGAAGTGAAAAGGGGGGAGCGGGGGAGTGAGCGCGGGGGAGCAGAAACTCACGTCTTGGTCTTTGCCGCGGTTCTTGAAGCTCCGCAGGCGGCCGCTGTTTTCCTTGGTCGGGGTGGACGGCATCTTGCAGCTTTCCTTCAGGCACAGAGCTGGAGGACAGTCGGAAGAGAGTTTGTGACTAGAGGGATAGCTGGGAGCGTTTTGCCTCTGGAGCTTTGAATCGCCGAATGACACTCTTCTGATTGGTCCGTTTGAAATTCGTGTCTCGGGTTTTATGCGCATGCGTGCGCCGATCGCAACACGTGCCAAATTCGAAACCGCAACCGGCCGGCGGTGTCTTCGCGCGCGCGGCGCCTATTGTGCGCGCATGCGTAAGTAGGTGGGGCTAAAATAACATGGCGGCAGTTGAAGTAGGAAGAGGAGGTGAAGATGAAGAGGACGATGCGGTGCCCGAAGAGATCGAGGAGACGTGTCTGGAGGTACACGAGGCTCTTGCTGGAGTCGACAGACTATTGAAACCAGTTCTGTCGGTGGGTAGAGTCAGTCTGGAGGAGAGGGTGAGGCACAGATCACATGATCACTGAGTCTATAGGGTGTATGGATGCCCTGTTGTTACAGATGGACGAGCTGGACTCGGCTTCTCTCATCCTATTGCTAGCCTACACCATGAACTCTCTGTTTTGGGGTGAGATTGATTGCCACCCAGCCTGCCCCTTCATTACTGACCAATCATTGTTCCCCCAGTCTATCTCACCACTCAGGGAGTGAGTCCAAAGGCTCATCCCGTCAAGAAAGAACTGGTATAACTGGATCAATACTTGATTATGTAAATTACGCCAATGTATTGTTGTGTAAAGTGCAGATGTGTAACATCATCTGGTTCATTTTAGTACGACAAGCATCGTTTCCTCTACATGTTCTTTTCTATATAATGTATGTAAGGTGATCTGTATCATTACATTGTGTCTCCATTAGGAAAGACTCCAGAAGGCAATGAGCAGAGCTAAGATTCTCAGTGAGCAAAGGAGAGGAGGTAATTTAAAGCTTTACCATACCTTTGACAAATATAGTGTGAACACATGGTTTATGAGTCAGTGAATGTGGTGTGATTGTGTGTTCAGCTCAGCCGAAGGTGAATGTGGGTGTGGCCAAGAGATTGGTGAGAGGTGCTCTGTGGGAGCAGAATCCTCAAAAGAGACCGCGAGAAGAGGGGGCGGGGCAAGGGGAGGAGTCTCCCAGCAGCAAACGACCTTCAAAATAGTCATCATCTTTACTGTCACACTCACTATGTACAACTCATCTCTGCCTGTAACTTCAGTAGAGAAGAGTGTGAGGTGTATTCGTTGCTAGGTTTGCCATTTTTCGTACAACAAACTGAATCATTGAGATATGACATCATAAAACACAACTGACAAACAAGAGGGGGGATGACTGGAGGAGGGAAGTGATCGACGGATGCTAAGAGTCATTTTCTAACGCAAGGTCATCCAGGTCTTCAAACAATGACTCGTCCACTTCAACCTCATACTGCTGTCCCCGTTCCATGTCACCCTGCACCTGCCCCGATTCCATGTCATCGTCAGTGAAGAACTTGGCATCAGACAGAGCTAGAGTTGTGTCCCTTTCAAACATTTGTCGACCTGTGGGAAAATGGGAGGAGGTCATCCTCATAAAATTTGGAGATTGTTTTACCGCAGACGAGATTTCATGTTGCTACGGCGTACCACACTTTCTCTTGGATTTACGGTTAGTATAGTCTAAAGTCTATTGTGTTACTGTGGAGCCTGAGACCACACCCACTGCACTGAGTCACTCACCAGTAAGTCGACGGCTAGTTGTGGACGTGTCTTCTCTCTGTTTGCCTCTCTTTTCCTTCATCTCCTCCTCAAACCCCTCTTTCCATGCTCTGAAACTCTCCACTGTCACCAGAGTCCCTCTGTACTTGGCCTGTGCAGAGCAGGAGTGAGGGCGAGAGTACAAGTACCGTAGTGCAGTAGTGCAGTAGTAAGAGAGAGTGAAAAGGGGGTGCAGCTATAGAAAGAGCAAAATGAACCCCACCCACGGAAATTTTGTTGGCAAAATAAGGGGACACAAAACCTGAAACTGCAACATGCTTGTTGAAGTGGACAACCAAAAACAGGCTTTCAGATCAACTGCTCATACGACACAAGAAAGAGGTCCAATCAAACATTAACTAACCTCTTCCAGTCTCTGTTGTTCTTCCTCTCTCTCCCTCTTCTCCCTCTCCTTCTCTTCTCTCGCTCTCTCCTCTCTCTGCTGCAGGTACTCTTGTACTCCGCAGACCAGCGTGAACACCATGACACTCCCCACATTCTCCCCCGCCTGGGCACACATTCACATCATCACATCATCACACACAATATTTTAGAGTGGTATAATCACGGCTGTTGGTGGTTTTTATGCAGATATCAATCCTACTGAATCAGAAACTTTCTCTCTAAGACGTCTTTTGAGATGGAAAAGGAAACCCCACAAGATTTCCTGCTTCATGTAGCCGCTAACCTGCTGAGTCAGCACTCTCTCCAGGTCCCTCATCTCCCCTGCCTCCACCCCTGTCCCCATCGTTATGGTAATCTCAGGAATCTCGTCGGGGTAATTGGCCGGGAGAGTGAACCTGACATCCACACTTACTGCAGGTCACGTGATTATCATGTGACACAGCACAACACGTTTTACACTCACCTTGACTGTTTTCGTTGTTACTGTCTTCAACTGATATCTTTACCTCCAGACAATACGGATCTTCAGACAATACTGGACAGTGATGTACAAAAATAGTGTATATTTTGGTACACACAAATACGTATTGCAACCTTTTAGTTCATCCTCGGGGTATATGCTCCGCAGCGCCTCCACCTCTCCTTCTTGCTCCTCCCTGTAGTCTGTCATTGTCGTTCTCGAGCTTCTGTAGCCGTGCACGCGTAGCCTGAATCCAAATAATGCGCACTTTACTCTTTGAAATTTCCTTTTTGCAGAGCTGTCGCATAATTAGAGAGGACAAAGGGCACCCAGGCAAGCGGAACGGGGCGTCACTGCGTATGGCGGATAAGGGTGAGTCTGTGGTGTGTACTGCCGTATGAACTAGTAAGGAAAGAGGGTCATATAGCTACAACTTCATCCCTCAGCTTCGCAGCGTGCTAAGCTGGTAGTGGCAACCATAAGCATAAGGTGTGCAGCAATTAGAATAAACCGCCAAATGGACCTTTTGCCGAAGAAACTTGATTGTAGCGCCGTGGTATCATGTGGGCGCGGTTATATGAGGCGTTCTCCTCTGCAGGGAAGCGACGCAGCCGCTCTCCACACGAGGGAGGTGGAGGGGCAGCAGAGAAAGGGAAGAAGAGGGTAAACCTTGAAGTTTTAGCACATCATTATAATGCAGTAGGGTGGTAAGTGTGCTGCACTTTCCACAGGTTAAACTGAGCTCAGCGGAAATTAGGGAAATGAGTAGAGACAAGATCATATCAAGGTCCACCCTTACTATTCACATGTGAACCTCCACTTCCTCTGTTTGTCAATACACATGGTACAATTGGTGTTTGGGATGTACAAATCATGATGTGGTGGAACACCCTCTAATTGGGACACCAATGGGACAGAAGGTGTCCATATCACTAAATCAGTGAGGGATCCATATCTCAGACGCTAAATTGCGTGCAAGAACTTGCTGGAAAAGAAAACCGTGTCCTTATTAAAGAGATTCGGGGGTGTTCTAGAGATATCCTGCACCGTATAGAGTACTACAGTATAAATGCATGCACGTAAAGTTAACAATTCAATGCCTCTGGTTGCTCTGCCCCTCTCAGGTGGAAGGAGCAGGACTCGTATATCGACCACCTGTTGTCTCAGCTGGAGGCAGCCGGGGCCGAGGAGGTGGCCAAACTGAAGGAGAACGAGACAAGGCTGCAGCTGAGGGTACAGGAGGCGCAGCGCAGGGAGAATGTTCTCAACATGAGACTTGCCACCAAACAGCAGGAGACTCAAGAGATCATGGTAGACACATCACTATCGTCACATGGTCTTCGTTCTATACACTGTATAATAATTTATGATTTCTGTCATTTGTATGCGTTTATCTAGCAACGTTGTTGATGTTTACAAGACAATAAGTAAGGCCGACTTATAGTCGTGTGCTGGAATATTGCAGGGTAACGTAATTGTGTATGTCTAGAGACTAAATGAGGCATGGTTTATAGGTGACACTATTCTTGACTTATTCACTTCATGTCATTACTGTCTGTGTGTCACATGATCCATAAAACTCTAAACTCCACACCCCCTTTCTCAAAAAGTCTTCCTCACATTATCTCTAAGAGCATTGGGAAAATTCAATCCCCCTTTCTCAAATTCAGTGCTGTATCTAACGGTATCCCCTCTCACCCTCAGTCTCAGCTGCACGACCTGAAGCAGGCGCAGTCCTCGGAGAGCTCCCAGCTCCACTCCCTGATGGTAGACCCAGCTGTCAACGTGATGTTCTCATCCATGAAGAAACAGCTCAAAGAGTACAAGGAGAAAGCTGGAGCATGCTCAGAACGACCTCAGTGCATGGAAATTCACTCCCGACAGGTGGAGTGTAGCGACTTAGTGTAATTCATAGTCAGATTTTTGTTGGTGAATTAGTCACGAAAATAGATTTTAATGATTGAGTGATCTGTCTTATTGCTTGTGCCTTTTCTCTCTGCCGTATACAAAATGGTAAGCAATAGTTCTCCAAAACTGTAATCTCTCTGCGTATGTAGTGTGACTGGTAAGAAGATGATGGCCAAGTGTCGCTCACTCATACAAGAGAATGCAGAACTGGGCAAACAGATTTCCCAGGTTTGCCCAGCTGCTCTTTGTACACCTCGTAACCTCTCTCTCTCTCTCTCCCTCTCTCCCTCCCTCCTCCCTCCTTTTCTCCCTCCGTCAGGGTAGGGTGGCACAACTGGAGGCTGAAATTGCTCTTCAAAAGAAGTGCAACCAGGAAATTAAGACTGCTCAAGACGGTAACACACCTACCCAATAGCACACACACACACACACACACACACACAAAGTTTACCAGTTGCGTAACTGAAAGTTGTTTCCCTCCCTCCTTCAGAACTGAATGAGTTTGTGATTCAGCTGGACGAGGAGGTGGACTCCATGATGTCATTTGTCCTCTCTCTCCAGAACAAAGACTCCAGAGACTCCGCTGCCCCCACCACTCCGACACCTGTTCCCATAGCAACCACCGTTACCAAGGCTACTGGTAACCATGGCAACAGCGGCAGTGTCTCGTCAAAGGAGAGGACGTCCTCATTGTCTAGCACTAGTCGACACAACGGACCGATCGAAACTGCCCACGTTGTTGCCACGGCAACCTCGGCTAGCTCGGGAAAGTCTAGTGTGAGCAGGAGTTCAAATAGCTAGTAGGGTGATAATTAATGTTGATGGGAGGGGCTTCCCTGTGATGTTTTATATTGTGGTTGCCATTGTCAGTGTCTTTCTGTCTTAAATGTTGAATATGTGTATATTTTCTTCTCTATAATCTTGTATATAGTATATGCAGTGATTGTCAATCTTTTTCTCAATGGCATAATAATATGATAAGTTTGGTACACACCCCTTGTTCTGAAAGACAATGGGTGGAAGCAAAATGGGTGTGAGATATGGGAAAGACAAAAGATGGGCGTGGGGTAGTGGAAAGACGAAAGTTTTGAGGGTGATAGAGGGAAAAGGCGAAAGGTTGGAGCACAATATATAGGGGAAAAGACAAGCAGTTCAGTGTGAGAGCGTAAAGGTGTGGAAAAGCAAGTGTGGTTGATGCTTACTTAATCAGCTGGTGGAAGTTATACATGGCTTCTGAACATTCCTATGTCGCTATAAATTATTGCATTCCACAAGTCACACATGGTAACCACAAGTTCAACTGCTGGAGGAAAGAAGGGAGGTGATGGGTGTTAGATTACCGGGGCTCTTCATGTCGTTTGGGCTGGTAGTGTCGGCCATTTTGTTCAGTTTCCATCTCTACTTGCGAGAGAGGGGAGAGGTGAGGCAGGCAGGGAGGGAGGTGGGGAGGTGGGAACAGCTGAAGACCGGCGATTGGGGTGCTCCTGCCATTTCAAGACTAACGACGTCTGAGTTCGGAGATGTGAGTCTGCGTAGACTAGCGTCACTTGAGAGAAGAAGACATGACAGCTCCAGACGCAGTCAGGTAATGGGGCTTGATGACAGGGTAAAGGAGGAAGAAGAGGATGCTCATGGTACTCCAAATAGAAATAGAACTGAAGATGATTTTCAAGATGGTGTAAAGCATTCCAGTGCATCTGAAAAGGATTCCCTAAACTTGACTGAAGGAACAAACCTGACTGGCCAGTTTTCTGTGAGGCGTCCTTTCTCTCTCCCTACTCCGGGGGCCACCTTACCCCTACCCCAATTACTCCGCTGCCAGTGGGTTGACGACCTTCGAACCTACCTCACCTCCCTCCCTCCTACCTCCAGACTCATCTCTATCGTCAGCTCAGACTACAAGTATCGCGAGGTCCTCCTAAACTGGTTGATACTGGCCGAGGCACAACAGAAACAACCGCTTACCAACATCCTGGTCCTCTCTCTAGACAAAAGTCTTCACCAGCTGCTGACAGATAGGGGGATACCCTGTGTTTTTATCCCAATCTCCTGCCTTGTCCCGTCCCCGTCTCTCTCTCACTATGCATGTGGCATTCACTCAGGTCCACATCATGAGACTACTGGTAATGCGACTCCTCAACCACTGGAGGTATGATGTCGCTAACTACGACTCGGACGCTCTGGTGTTGCGCAATCCTGAGACCCGCTATAAGGAGTTGGGAGACAGGCATTTCATCGGGTCGGTTGGCCATTTTCCTCACGAGATGGACCGTAAATGGGGCACTGCAGTCTGCATTGGGGTGGTACTGATCCGGTCCTGTCCTCAGACTGGTGAGCCTGCTCCCACCAGGTGTCTTGAACATCTGTCCCTTTTCAAGTGTCCTAAATATCAATCAATAATGGCGACCTTATTTTGCCATTTTAGCAGCAATGTTTAGCGGTTTGGTATGCTTGATGCACATAGTTAACTCTGACACAGTTATTGGCAAGCGATACCGTAAAGCTCCCTGTAATTCTCGCACTTGCCAGTGGTGGCTTGCCAGTGGTGGCTTGCAAGTTGTGGCTTGCCAGTGGTGGCTTGCAAGTTGTGGCTTGCCAGTGGTGGCTTGCCAGTTGTGGCTTGCCAGTGGTGGCTTGCCAGTGGTGGCTTGCCAGTGGTGGCTTGCCAGTGGTGGCTTGCCAGTGGTGGCTTGCCAGTTGTGGCTTGCCAGTGGTGGCTTGCCAGTTGTGGCTTGCCAGTGGTGGCTTGCCAGTTGTGGCTTGCCAGTTGTGGCTTGCCAGTGGTGTGCACCATACATTCTTGTGATACTAGCAACTTTATCAGACCTTCATTAACCTTCATCCCCAGAGCTGTACTGGGAGGCGATGTCGAGAGTGCTACCAGGGCAGACGAATGACCAGGGCCGTCTCAACTGGGCCTTGGCTGCCATGGCGATGCTCTGGGACAACCCCCACAGCAACATGGGAGAGGTAATAATGACAGGGGCAGGGAGAGGAGGATTCCGGGCTGCCGTCCTTCCTACCAAAGATGTCTGCAGACAAACGTGCAAAAAGAACAAGAGAGTGAGTGTCTCATGCACTTTTGTCTTGGCTTGAGAATATTGATTATTGTTCTAATGTCAGGGTTACCTGGTGTGGCATAAGGGAGGAGCTAAGAGCAGAGATGGGAAGAAGGTGTATGCAAGCAAAGGTGGACTCTGGCGTCTCCGTGACAACTGGGAGTCAGTAAACAAACGGACCAGTAGCAAAGGAGTTAAATGGCTCACAGAAATCGCAACACGCAAATGATAGTTCACTTCGCCCATGTACAATACATTTCTCATAAAGTTAATTATTATGTCGTGAAAAATGAGTAAATGGTTGTGTGCGAGAGTCATAGGAATGCTAGCCTTGCCCCCTAATTAGAGGCAAGTTGACCACGCCTCCTCGTCATCGTCATCTCTGAAGAGCTCTCTGAACAGGTCGCTGTCTTCTGGCTCCAGCTGAGCCACTGGCACCAGCAACACCTCCTGTCCTGCCGACGTTATCGGGTTGCCCCTGGCAATTAACAAAAATTACATTGTTGTTTAGTTATCACAGTCGCATCCCTTCGTATCATAGTTAAGATCATCACACACAGGTACCTCAATAAGCACTTTTCATTACATCATAATGATGTTATACCTGTAAAAGGCTAGGAGTTCGTTGAGGCTGCGGAACTGTCTCTGTTTGGGTCCGAGGAACTGGTATCTGCCCCCGGAAGGCACGTCTACCAGGAAATGCTTGACGTCGGTGTAGGCTGAGCAAACGTACAATAGATGCTTTATATTACAGGAAGATGTACTACATGGACGCATTGTGAAAGTTAACATGATCAGAGAGAGAGAAGAAAGAAGGAGAAAAAGAGAAAGATTAGGTAGTATTTTGCCTCTTACTCTTGACGGAGATGGTGTAGCCCCATGTCTTGAGACTCAATCTCACCAGGTAACTACCCACCGGCTTCTTCTCCAGTAGATACTCTGCCTTTGCTCTCCCAAGCCGACCTGGGGAAACATTACCAATGATGTAATGATGATGTCATCACTCTGGTGAAGTGTTGTTACCGTGGAACCAGAGTGAGATTGTTCCGTCCCTCTCGCGACAGTGTCCGCAAGGGGCCTCCCTCTCTCTGAACCAGGTGACCACATGGTCCAGAGTCTTGGGCTTAGTTCCGGGCTCAAAGACAGACGATCGGCGGACGAGAGGTTTAGAGGGATTAGTCCTGCCTGGATGGATGGGTTTTCGTGTCTGTTTATTCCTGTCCCACTTCATCTTCTGTTCCAACTCCTTCTTCCTTTCCTCGGGGATTCCCTCCAAGATCTGTCGCTCGTCAATCTTAGGGAGCTGTGTACACAGACATACAATAGGGGAAATGGAAACACTAACTACTGCACAGCCCTACTGATGGAGGGAGGAAATGGAAAGTATTACAGCCCACACAAACAGATGGAGAACGGAGAATGCCAACTGCAAACAAAGCTTCAACTGGCGCACATGAAATGATGAAGAATTTAAGACTATCACACGAGATAATCAAGGATACGATGTATAAAGAGAAAGTGTTTCACAGGATCCTAGCCGCATGCTACGGTTCCACTATACAAGACGTCTAACCAGAACATAAGGAAAGAGCGACATACCCTCTGACTGAGTTTCCTGGCCTGGTTGAAAGAGGCTTTGCGGGTCCTCTCGAAGGCCTTGGCTTTCTGCTCGCTTTCTCTCCACCTCTCCTCCACAGTGTGGGCCACTTGCATCGACTTCTTCCTGGCCAGCTGCTTCACCTCTCTCATGGTGGAGAAGATCTCCTCTGCCCTCCGCTCCTGGAACTCCTGATGCTCCTCTTTCGTCTTACTGAAAGACACGTGTCAACAACTACGTCAAGGCCAACAACACAACAACACCCAGGACAACTGAAGAGCTGATCTAGGAGGGATTCAAATCCAGGACACTCTGCACACTACGCATGTGCTCTACCAGCTGAGCTACCAGTGCAACTTAGCTGGTAGGGTTTCAAACACAATAAAACACAAGACAAGAACTCTGCCAAGTACACCCTCATTCAGCATGTAGCTAGGGTATATACAAAGGGAAAAGGAGCATGTATAGTACATTACGGTGCTGATTTTTGGTATCCCTATGTTATGTGTTTTTTCAGCTAGACTTTAGTTGATACATCATACAGTAATGTCCCAATGTGTCTTACCCAATGATTGGGACTTGTTTCTTGAGAGTCATTCTCCTGAGGTCGTCCTGATTGTACCTCTCTCTGGTCGAGGTGTGCGGCAGTGGAGATTCCTCGTAGTCAATGTGTTCATTACTGGAGGAGAGGTCCAGTTGGGACTCAGTTCGAGGGAGAGAGGACCCGGAGGAGGAGGAGGAGAGGAGGGACGATGTCGACAAAGATTCAGGCACTGCCAGAAGACTCCCTGGCAAACTGAATGAGAGAGAGATACAAGAGGATTATACTACAAAAATTAACCTTTAAAGCGGAAATTGAGAGAGAAAGGTGGACAAAGGGAAGCACCAGAAAACAAAAAAGTTACAGAGAAAGTGTGGCTCAAAATGACTGACAGTATCTTTAAGTAAACGTTCAGTGAACCTCGCGTCAGTGAGCCCACCTTCCTCTATGTCTGCTGGCACTGTGGGTGCCAACTGCAGAGTCGGAGAGGAGACGTCTGACTGGCTGTTTGGTGGCTGGCTTTCCGACATCCAGAGACATTCTCTTGTTGTAGGGATTGGTGGATGGGGAGCCAATGGGGGACTGGGAGGGAGATTGAAGTTCCCCAAAACGACCTGCAACAAAAGGGCACAGTGAACTCTAGTGCATTGGCAGAGCTGTGTTGTAGGCTTGAAACCCTACCTGCAGCGTTGCCATGGTAGCTCAACTGGTATATAAAACGCTCGCCTAGAGTGCAGTGTTGTGGGTTCAAATCCCACCTTGGGCAGCTCTTTTTTCCTTATGAAAAATTGTCCTAGGTGTAGTTGGGTTGTTTGGTTTGTGTTGTGTCATTGTTGACACGTATTATAAAACCAATGAAAAAAGGACACCTTTGAGTTAAGGACACTTTCAATTTCCCCAAGGTCTCCCTCATTCAGAGGTGTTCTCACTGGCAAGAGAGAGAATGTGGCCAGTTTCCTGTTTGGCAAACTCATCTGCCTGTCTCCGTATCTCCCTCTCTTCCTCCTCCTCCTTCTCTCTCTCTATCCTCTCGCTCTGCCTCACCAGCTCATCATAGGGCAGGTCTCTGCCGTGTTCCCCCATTACCCATGTCCATGGCTCCCCATCTTCTCCCAACAGGAACTGAATCTAGAATCGAAAAAAACAAGCAGATAGCAGTGTTTCATGAACACTCCATATTTTTCTACAAGAGAGAAACTGGATATTATATCAAAGAGAAAGGCAGAATATTACGTAAAGATTCAAGCTCCGTCTGCTCATGCTACAATATAGTCGGACAACAAGTAGCTAGTCCGCTACTTACTTTTCTCTGCTTTTTCTTTCTTGCAGGCTTCTTCTGCGGTTCCTTCTCTCTGACGTTCCACCGTCTCAGCTGCTCGTCCCTCATTCTCCTGAACAGCAGCTCTTTCTGTTCGTCCGTCATGAGTTCCAGAAGCTCTGGATCCACGTACATCGTGTCCAGTATCTGCTGCAACATCTCTCTCCGTGTCTTTCTCGGTTACGACTGTCCTAGAGCTAAGTGTGTTAGGCCACTGTACAGCAAAAGCTTTCCTTCTACTCTTCTGATCGCGACTTTTGGCTAGTAGTGAAGTGGGCGTATCTCGTACGCGCGTGCGTACGTACGTACGTGTACGTTACGTGTGTGTGTGTGTGCGCATGATCGGCACACCCCCGTCGCAGAATCCAACGACGGCGGACTGTGTTACAGATCAACTGGTGTCTGAAAAACGAAGATCTCCCTGCTATTGGAGGTATCAGTAAGTGTTTTATTGCAAATATCTATGTGTTTTTACTGTGCTTGTCAGTTTATGGGACAGCGTAAGTTTTTGTTGGCTAGCTATATATTATACGCAGAGAGTGTCAGCTGAGTTCAGAATTTCAAGTGCTCAATCATCTCGGGGTCTCTCTCTATCTCTTCAGCTGGCTGGTGGAACTTTCTTCAGTGGATCAGATTGTTGGAGATGGCTGTGGCCGGTCGAAGATGTTTTACATTCTCTCTTCTCTCCCTCTCCCTCCTGTCCTCCCTGTCCATACTCTTCTCTGCCAGAAGAATAAACATATACAAAGGCACTACTTTAGTGGTCCTAAGCAACACAATGACTGAGGATAACCTTGTGATTGACAACAAAATTCGAAAGTTGGAGGCAATGGGTAGACTGGCAGACATAACAACTCGCCTTCAGTCGTGGAATGCAGTGACTACCAAACCAGCAATGCACAGTGAGGATGGAAAAGTAGCAACAGAAGCTAAAGAACTAATGAAATTCAACAGCAGCATTAGCCAGGAACAAGGCCTCACCACGTCTCAATCTTCACTTTTTAAGAGGACACCAAACTCTCTTCTGAGAGAGGTTCTGGGCAGAGGAAGAAGGGACCAGCCTCCACCAGTCTGGAGAGGTAGAGAGAGCACTCCTGATGCAGAGACAAGGAGACTGCAGCAAATGTTCCCTCTCTCCCCAAACTTTTCCTTCCCCAACCCTCAGGTGTGATGTGTGACTAGGTGATTGCTGCACTTTCAGCTTGTCTGTAGGAAAACCAACAGCTTACTACTAGGCAACAGCCTCGTGCAAGACTATGTGTATAGATTACTTTGCTGCTTGAGATGAGATTACAAGACCATATAATTTTGCACCTTGGACATAAGTATACAAGATTTGTTCATATGTTGATCTCTTGTTTCTCAAAGATCACTCTGCCACTGGCTACAGTAGAGAGAAGTAAGTGGATAAAGTCTCTGCGCAGCCACCTGGCCACTCTCTCAGGAAGAAAGATCATCAATCTCGTCAGCTCAAACTCCCAGTATCAGGATGTCCTGCTCAACTGGCTCATATCATCAGTGGTGAGGTCAGGACTAGAGCTACAGTCAGTGCTGGTCATCTCCATGGACCTCTCTCTCCACACACGGCTCTGCAATCGCGGAATTCCCTCTGTCAACGTCCCTCTATTCCAACTCATTCAAAGCGACACAAACTTTACAAAGGCCTTTGACCGCATCATGATGCTGCGATTGTCTGTCATGCGACTCATCTCCCACTGGGGCTTCGACGTACACAACTACGACACTGATGCCGTCTTACTTCGAGATCCCCAACCTCTTTATGATCAGTTTCCTCACGCCCACATGATTGGTTCCGTGGGGAGGATACCCTTTAATCTAATGACCAAATGGGGCATCACTGTGTGTATCGGCGTGGTGATTATCAGGGGCTCGCCCCGTACTGAGGAATACTGGGAAGCGGTGTCGAAAGCGTGCAAGTCTTCTCTGGATGATCAAGAAAAACTCAACTGTGGTTTGGAAGCTCTTGGTATGGTTTGGCACAATGCCAATGCAGACCAAAACAGGACCGTTGTCAGTGGTACCTGCAACAACGGTCTGAGAGTGGAAGTACTTCCGTTTGGTGATATATGTCGCCTAGCAACATGTGACCCCACCCAGAGGAGCTCGTACTATATCTGGCACAAGGGAGGGAGCCGTACAAGGAGAGATAAGGTCAAAGGGTCGCGAGAGGGTCGGACATGGTTCCTGAGGTACAAATGGAGTGAGATAAAGAAAGTTTTGAAGGGCAAAGAATGGCTAGAGTCTATCGCATACCACCAGATCACACACTCATAGAGTATTCTGTATCATTATTTCAATATCATCATCACTCAAGATCTAGCCTAGACCCCGTGATTACGTAATCCATCGGAAATCGGTGCGCGCGCGCCTTATAAGATCACGTGCGCTACCACATGGCTTTCTTTTCTCGCGAAGACAGCACCGTATACACCCAGTAGGTTAGGGGTTGTCAGCGGCCAAACGTGAGAATATGAACCAGAAGCCGAGTGTACAAGTCTTCGGACGAAAGGTGAGCTACAAACTACCGCCTGTTCTCAGCTGACCCTCTCTCCACTGTCCCTCGTAGAAGACGGCGACTGCAGTGGCCCACTGTACACAGGGGAATGGCATCATCAAGGTGAACGGGAGACCTCTGCACTTAGTGGAGCCTTCCACCCTCAGATACAAGGTAATCTCAGACCCTTACATCTGTTCTCCAATAGCACAGGCCCAGTATATTGTGTTTACACTCTTACATTCCATTATCAAGCTGCTCCACTCGATCAAATCCACTATTACCATGAATCTGAAAGACGGTCACATTCAATGGTGCATCAGTCAATATTAGTCAGATCTGACCATGTTGTGCAATATGAATGTTCTCTGTGTGTGCGTGTGTGTGTGTGTGTGTCCAGCTGGAGGAGCCTCTGCTGCTGCTAGGGGCAGAGAAGTTCATGGGGGTAGACATACGGGTGAGGGTGAAGGGAGGAGGCCATGTCTCCCAGGTCTACGCCATACGACAGGCCATCAGCAAATCCCTCGTCGCATATTACCAGAAATGTTAGCTCCACCCCTCCCCCCTCCAACTTGTCTTCTTTACTTCTCCTACGTTTCCTTTCGTTTTTCAAATTGAAATCACTGTTTGAAGGTCGTAAGTTTTTGTATAAGAAGGTAGTTGTACATTATGCTAAACCACGATAAGTTTTCTTCCTTTCTCTATCATGATTATAACCTCGCCCTCTCTTTTTACTCATCAGATGTCGACGAAGCAAGCAAGAAGGAGATAAAGACGTGCTAACAGCCTACGACAGATCTCTCCTGGTTGCCGATCCACGCAGAGCTGAGCCCAAGAAATTTGGCGGTCCTGGTGCCCGCTCAAGATACCAGAAATCTTATCGATGATTCGGGCAGCTCGTCTGCTGCCTTTGTCACTCTACACTCTATAGTATACGGATGATGTACTGACTTGTGAATAGAGAATTTTAAACTTTGACCTAGAGCCACGTGCGCGCACGCTGTTACTAAGCAACGTGAAAACAAATCTTCCGACTAGCAAGCTGCTCGTAAAGATGCAGGGGATCGCGGTGATCAGGCGATTTGTAGTGAAGTGAAACTGTTGGAGAGGAGGAGTGAATGCAGGCGGGGAGCAGCGGGCGGCAGAGACGCAGCAGCGCGACCCGCAGGGCGGCGATGGACAAGTACGAGCGACTGCACAAGATCGGGGAGGGGGCGTATGGAGAGGTGTTCAAATGCATCCACCGAGCGACTGGGGAGGCAGTGGCGATAAAGAGGTTCACGGACAGCGACGAGGACCCGAATATCAGGAAGATGTGTACCAGGGAACTCGGCATGCTAAAGGTCTGGAGCTTCAAAACCTACTTTTGCAGAGTTTCAATAGCTATGTCTGACTTTCATTACCTATTATGTTGGTAGTCTAGCTTATCTTGTTCATGCGCAGAAGCTGCGTCATGGCAACTTGGTGAACCTCCTGGAGGTGTTTCGACGACGCAAGAGACTCCATCTGGTGTTTGAGTACTGTGACCACACCCTCCTTAACGAGCTGGAGACTCACAAGAGAGGGTGAGGGGCGGGCCCCACACACGCCTCATATGAAAAACAATTTTTCCGCTTTCATGATAATAATACATGCAGTGGTCTCCTAAGCAACAGACTCAGATGTCCACTCTTTGTTGTAGCATTACTTGCCATGTCTTGTTTATTTCCCATTTTCACATCATAAACCTGTGACGTATTCCGTCATTGTACCATACTTGTTGTTGCTGATTCGTGTTGAAGGATGGCAGAGGGGGACATTCAGAGGATCAGCTGGCAGATACTGCAGGGTGTGGACTACTGCCATCGCAACGGAGTGAGTGGTGGATCACGTGACCTGTCACGTGATGGTCATGTGACTACTGTATTATCATGTGACCTGCTCAGGTGATCCACCGAGACGTGAAGCCGGAAAACATCCTCATTTGCAAGAACGGAGTTGTCAAGCTTTGCGACTTTGGATTTGCAAGAAACCTCAGTAAGAATGGGCCTTCTTTTAGCTAACATTATTGCTGTGTGCTCCACTCTGCTTTTGGCACAAAACAGGGTTAGGGGACATGTGCATGTCTAGGAAACGCCCATCATTGTGTTTATACTCATATTGTTGGTAGCTAAATCGCGGTATTTAGCTCTGTTCTCCCTTGTATGTAGCTGGCCCAGGAGGACACTACACAGACTATGTGGCCACCAGATGGTACAGGTCCCCTGAGCTGCTAGTTGGTGACGTACAGTACGGTCCTCCTGTTGACGTGTGGGCAGTGGGTGCGTCCAAAACACAATCAGTCTGACTGTAGCTCTCTCTGCCCCACACCACAGGGTGTGTGTTTGCTGAGATGCTGACAGGGCAAGCCATCTGGCCCGGTAGATCTGACGTTGACCAGCTCTACCACATCCGAAGAACCCTCGGTAACAATCACCTCTCCCTAAAACTCATCGTAAATAGAACCATTTTCCCACTTTGCCCTGTGATTCTGCTCAGAGCCCTTCAGCTTACTGGAAACAAATGTGTTTCCGAGAGCTGTAAATCCAACCCTCTGCATGAGCTTGAACATGTAGGGCTATATAGCAGGACAAAGATATTTCATAAGCCCACATACTGACAATGCACTGAGTCAGTCTCAGATCATGAATAAGCATCCGTCCCATGAGAAAGTCATCCTGATTCATGATTCATAGTAGACATTTGCATGGTATGCAACACTTATATATAGCAGGGTCTGTATTGTCTTATGGCTCTAAAAGACATTGCTGATGATGCATGCCTGCCGTATGCAGGTGACCTGACCCCAAGGCACATGGAGATATTCTCCAACAACTCATATTTCAAGGGTATCTCGATCCCCGAGCCAGCAGTGCATGAAGCACTGTGTGTGAGATATTCCAGGTTCTCTCATCAGACTGTCTCATTTCTTGAGGTACGTGTACTGCAGACACTAGACCTAAAATGTCAATATTTGCAGTTGTCATCAGGGTATAAACAAGATTAAGAATCCTCAGTAGAACATAATAGTCTGAATCTCGTACCATGTGAGATCTTTAGGACCGAAGCCTTGTGAATGTATGCAGCCGTGTTACTTCATATAAGACTGCGTTTTGAGCTAAGAACAATGAATAATGCTGACCAGCAGATTTCGTGACTCAAAACTTAATCTTTATAATTATGAAGAACCAACCGTCTGCATTCTCACATTAATTAAAAACCCTCGCTCATACATGGGTATAATACTTGGACTGACCACTAGTGTTCGTGAAGAAAATCTCTAGCAAACCCTTCGTCTCTTCACTCTGTCAGGGATGTCTGGTAATGGAGCCAGCAGGGCGACTGACATGTGATGAGCTACTTGACCACTCCTACTTCACCGTGTTCCGAGACTGGTTCCAGCCCGAGCTCGAGGTGGGTCCCATTCCGGTACCATGTATTGGAACCAGACACACACACTCTCCCTCCCTCCAGATGCTGCTGGCTAAAGATGCCAGGAAGATTGCCAGATCTAAATCAAGGGTCATGGTATGTTGGGACAAACATTAACTGAAGTGAAAACCCATGGCATATTGGAAGGTGGACACTGCCATCAGTAACATTTTGCTACAGAGCAGGCCTCACTTCCACACCCACAAACCTACTGTACATAATGGAGCTCTGACGTCATCCCTACTGTAATGTTGTGTTGCAGTATTCCCGAAGAGCAGCCACAGGAGCAACTAGCATTCCTCCCTGTCCGCACGACCCCCCCTCCTCCCTCCTGGAACCCCAATTAGAGCCCACCTCCTGCACCCTCCCTCAGTTGACCTCCGTTACCTCTGGCCACACCCACGATCAACAGTTGCCACAGCAACAAGGTTAGAAATCATACCTGAGAGTGAGCCATGATGCATTACTTTATCCCTGTTCGTCATGCAATTCTTACGCAGCATAAAAGTCTTATTATTTCCCCGTGCAGCTGAGAAGAAAACTGAGTCAAGATTAGACCATTTGCCCTCCATTTGACAGTCAGCCATTTTACTGTCTGAGAAGACTGCTAATGAATCAACCATTTTCTATATGAAAAGCACTAAAGTGCAAACCCTCGGCACACTGTGGAACCCACAC